ATCTTCGAAGGGAGTGATTCTCATGTATTTATGTTTTCAGACCGAGTGTTTTACAAAGTTAACCATTTGATGGAAACAGCCAAGATGGAAGCAATTTCTCTGTGCATGGCAGGCAATGTGCTAGCTTGGTTCTGATGAATCGAGAAGAGGAATTGGCATGTTGTTGGGAGGAATTTAGGTAGACATTGATTAAATGATTCCAGTTGCATGGGACCCTCCATATATGAATGCTTTTCATCCCTCTGTTAAGAAACAGGTGTGTGAGAGCGTATCAAGCAATTTGAGGTGTTGGTTGGTTGCACTGTTGAACTGTTACGTGAAGCTCCAAGTCTTGCAAGGGAGATATACTTCAAGAGGGAGGCCATGGAGGTGGGAACTCTTTTGAACCTAGCCTTTCACCCAAACAAATTCATATAATTAAAAAAAATATACCTTGTCCGTTTGGAAGAAAAGTGATGTGATAGGGGTTAGCTTTGGGACTGGTTTGGAAGGCTACAACAAAACTACAAGGGAGAAAGGATTGCATTTTGGCACAAGGATAAATATTGTCATGAATGACTACTTGTTAACAAGAGAGAACCAAGGTGGTTAAGGAGCCCATGATGTGATGGAAGTTGTTGTATTGTCACTTAGTTTGGCTGTAGGGATCTTGTTGCGGCGGACAATGAAACTGAAAGGAAAAGCACAAGAGAACTTGATGTTGGTCGTGGTGGGACAATGCATGAATTCATACTAGGTCTCAGTATTCAAGAAATCGTGGTATCGTATTTGAACTTATAACTGTTCTGTACAATTTAATCTTTGAAAATGTTTGCATGAATTTGTTTCATTGTGGACACTTGAATAACATTTACTACATTTAGCTGATTTTTCAGCCATCAGTTTATGTATTCCTTTTCCCTCCTTTGTTTTTCAATTCTATTTGATAGCATGTTCAAGGGCAACTTTTCTCATTCAACCAGTCTGACATTTTTGTAGACCAATCAAGAAGCATTAATAACAAGTGTCCTGCCATTGATTGTTCGGGCTTATGATGATAATGATGCTCGCATACAAGAGGAAGGTCTGAGAAAATCAGTTTCCCTTGCCAAGCAACTTGATACACAGGTGAGAGCTCCATATCTTGTGTTTATGATCGCTTTCTAGTTTATCCCCTCAAACCCTCTTCCTTTTCATGAAGGTGGGATAGTTAGTCTGCAAATGCATCAGAGAAGTGATGCTAGAACATACTTTGTTAGCTGTCTCTCTCTTTTCTTTATTCATTTATTTTTCTTGAAGCCTTTTTTAATTAAGAAATATTAGTTTTAGGATGTCTCAACAAGTTTCAAACTGTCAAATATTATCTTTTTTTGACCTTTTTTATGGTATGCACCACCCTTGCATTCACATTTGCTTAAATCGTCGTGTTCTTACAGTTAGTGAAACAAACAATTTTGCCCCGTGTTCACACCTTAGCTCTAAAGACGACAGTTGCGGCGGTAAGTATGTTCTTGCAGTTCTATTTGATTCTTCGTTCTTTGAAGATCTTTACTATTTGTTTGGTGTCTTGTCATCTTTTTTGTAATTCCTCCCTTCTAATGAAAGTAAAGTACCATTTCCTATCCAAGAAAAAGAAAAGGGAAAAAAAAGGTAATTGCAATTGATTGATACGTGGTTGTTTTTTATAGGCATTCATCTGTTAGCCTTTATCCTTGAGTGAACCTGAGAGAGTTATAATAATGTTGTTGACATGAATTACTTACGAGAGATTCCTGCTTCATTTTGATTGAGATGCATTATTGATGGTGTCTTCTAAGTGATTTTGGAATGGTAAATTAGCATCTTCCTATTTCTCTATTGACTATTGACTATTGATTAGGTACTTTCTGCTCAATTGTGTGATGTGTTTTACATATGTAAAAATGAGTGGTAATTTGGGCTTTCCTTCCTACGTACAGGTCAGAGTCAATGCTTTGCTCTGCTTTGGAGAATTGGTTCCGATGCTTGATAAACACGCAGTTCTAGAAATCTTGCAAACAATTCAACGTTGTACAGCTGTTGACCGTTCTGCTCCTACTCTCATGTGTACCCTTGGGGTAGCAAATTCAATCCTTAAGCAGGTACTTACCATATCTAGTTCAACCTGTTTTTGGAAGGATACTCTTGCAAAATATTTTTGTGCACTACTTGAACCAACTTGCCTTCTGACACTCATTTTGTCAGTATGGAATTGAATTTGTTGCGGAGCATGTTCTTCCTTTACTCACACCTCTTCTTTCAGCCCAACAATTAAATGTTCAGCAGTTTGCTAAATATATGCTTTTTGTCAAGGACATTCTCAGGTAATATTGTTAAACACTACAACCAAAATCTGTATGCATGATTGAGGGCACGCACGTTAATGTAGCTTCATGCTTTTGGAGAGGTTACTCTTAGCAGTATATTTCTGATTCTAACGATATTTATCCATCGCAGGAAAATAGAAGAGAAAAGAGGAGTCGCTGTTTCTGATTCTGGAATATCAGGAATGAAACCCTCTCTGATTTCTAATGGCTCACAGTCACAATCATCAATCACAGCAAGTGATGTCTCGGTTCCAACAATAAAAAGTCGACCTGCTTGGGACGAAGATTGGGGCCCGACTTCTAAGACACCTGCATCCTCACAAAGTTCTACTGGCAATGTCTTGTCTGCTCCTGTTGTTCTTGGTGGTCAATCCATAGCTGGAAATTCTATACAAACAAATTCTGTTGTGACGACATCTCTGTCTAGTAATCAAACTGTTGCATCCTGTCTTCCAGTTGATATTGAGTGGCCTCCTCAGAACTCTACCAGTAGTACACCCATAATAGCTGATTCTGGGATGCAAGCAACTACAGGATCATCATCCACTTCAAGCTTGGATGGCGAGGACCCTTTTGCTGACTGGCCTCCACGTCCTAGTGGATCATTAGCAGGTGCATCAGGAGCTTCGAACAACGGAGTGGTCGGACCATCCAAGAACAAATATGGAACTGCTTCATCCATGACTACACCGAACAGTTTGAACTTTCAAACAAACGACAATGCTAGTTGGACCCTCAACAACCAAAATACTAGTGAACCAATGATACAAAATCATGGAACTTCGACTTTCAATTCAAGCAGTCCGGGGAGTGGAGGCATCAATTCCCTAAATTCTATTGGATTCCAGAAGCAAAATCAGGGAATACCATCCCAGTTTACTTATGATGCCGACAAGAAATCCACTGATCTTGGATCCATATTTGCGCCGAGTAAGAGTGATCAAAATATTGCACCTAGACTTGCCCCACCCCCCTCAACTGCTATTGGTATAGGAAGAGGAAGAGGAAGAGGGAGGGGGGTTTCGTCAACACTTCGTTCTACTCAAAACAAATCATCATCTGGGCAACCTCCCCTGATGGATTTGCTGTAGTGGGTGGATTCTCTGTATCAGAAATATTTGGAAGATACAGATTGCCTTTTGTAGATTTTTGATCTTGTGGCACCCAGAGATGGATCTGAGGAACTGCATATCAGGTATGAGTACATTCTTTTGACCCTTGCAAGTAAAGCGTGAGTTGGGTATGCGAGTTGATTTTTGGTAAATGCATTTTTTTCTGTTTATAATCAAAATTTGAACTAGTTTATATTGGAAATTTTGTATGCCTCTCAAAGTGTATTATTCATTCATTCATATATAAGTTCCACTCCCAGTTTGTGACTAGTTTTTGAATGACAATAAAGGAAGTTGATTCATGTCTCCCCAATGCTTCATAAAGAGTTTATGCCTCTTCAGTTATCTCTCTCCCTCGTTTTGTCAATTGATATCACAGATGCCATTTCTTCAACCCACTCATCGTGTTCTTCCTATGCTCCATTCAAAGTTCATATAGTTTATATATTCTATCAAAACTAGTCTACCTGGATATGATTCTTGTACGGGATATAATTCTTGTACTAACTCTTCACGACTTGGTCAGTGTACAAGTGAATCATATCATTCTTGACGCTTGATTTGGTTAAATGAACTTTGTAATTTTAGGAATTTACTAGCTTTCCATATCACTAAATTCACAACCGGTTTTTAGATTTTAGGTTTCATAATTTCTAGTTTTTACTTTAGTTCATTTTGGTCCCTGTACTTTTAAAATTTTATTTTGGTCTCTTTAATTCATTTTGATGTCTCTACTTTTAAAAAGTTATCAATTTAAGCGTAGATTTTATGTATGATTGAAGCCTTCCATACAATTCAATGTCTACATTTCAAAAAAAAAAAAAAATTATATAGTAAGTAAAGTTTCATGCTTAAATTATGATCGAAAAAATGAACTAAATTGACCCATTTTCAAAAGTACAACATAAATATGGTCATTTCAACATTGGAGTCGTAATTAAGCGTAAATGGAAGTACATGCATCACATAATTCATACGGATATCATTAAAATTTAATAATATCATCAAAATTTAACAACATATAAATAAGACCATAGAGTAGATTTTATTCATGCAACAACAATTTCATTCAATTGAACCCATAGGCCTTCCAATGCTTAATTTGATGTTCCCAAACTTTCCTAAACTGACCGTCCTTAAAAGCTCAACTTCAATATGATTTAATTTCACCAATATCATTCCACGCATTAAAATTATTAAACTTAGAGCTCATTCATGAGGATAATATTAGTGATAAATAACCTTACTTGGCTAAAATAGTAACCAAATTGACCTTTGTTAGCCTAAATTAGGTTCAAAACGCTTTGAGACAAGCCATCGATGCAAAGCAGTATCGATTTAGGTAAATCCTGTCAATGCAAAACAACATGGACAAAACAAGCCATCGATCACATCGATACAAAACAGAGTCGACAAAACCAACCTCTATTGTCACTAACGTGATGCACCGACAATGAAAATTTCTACCTACAAAAGGTCACCCAAGAAGGTTTTCTCGATGGCCCTTCCCAACAACTTCTTTGCTTTTCCCATCTCTTTGTGGCATTGAAGAAACCCTAAATTATTGTACCAATAATTAAGAATCATAATATATAATTCTAAAACAGGTCAACGAAGTGGGGATAATAAATCCAAAGATGCAATAAACTCAACAAAAATATGACATCTAAAGAGCCCAACCGGAACAATCTTCTATTGGAGTTCGAGTTCAAGTTCATCCTTCCACTTTAGCAACCATTCTTGGCGTCGATCTTAGGACGATAACCTTTCTCAACATCGTAATAAAGTTTATAATGCATGGAGTAAGCCAACTTTGAGCTCTAAAGCGTTTATACTTACCCCAACAACACTGCTGTTACTGCACAACAACACGCCTCGGTTCGGATAGGCAACAAAGTCTAGGAACTAACTTCTTCTCTGCAGTCTGCACAACTATGAAAATATCAGCTTTGCCCACCAATGGTGACTCGAATAACTTACTTTCTGAGACCTGATAATCGAAAATCCCTTGGCTACCTCATTGAGGGCTATCTATGAACATAAAAGACTTAGCACGAAAAAGTTTCCTAGAGCTTCATACTTGCAGATCCTTTTACCATCCGCCATATCAACTACCAATAGTCCCCACAAGAGCAACGCCCATCTTTGAAATGATGGAAACGAACCGAATCTCTAAGAATTATCTCTCTTTTCTCGATTACCGAGAAGAGCTTCATTGCCATGTGGCAATCTAAACAAATCCTCAGGTTCTTCATCACTCTCACTGGAGCTGAGTCTGGCAAATGGATAATCCCAAAAGCCACAGCCAACTTTTCACTGTGATAGTTCACCAACACATTGGTCATGGATTCAAGCTCAATTTTGTAATCAAACTCATCCTTCATCAGATGTAAATTCTTTGTTTTTGCTAACATTTCGTCCAACTTAGCATAAATCAGTTCACTATTTTTGTGAGAGCGATCACCTGAAACAAATGAGTACACTTGATCTCCTACTTCTATCCAGCTTAGACCAGGTTCTTTCTTAATTCTCCGATCTTCCATTAACTTCCTGACTTTTAAGGCATCTTGCTTGTTTCCAGCATCCATATAAATGTTATAGAGAAGCACATAAGATGCAGATGCCAAAGGTTCAAGCTCAATTACTTTCTCTGCAACACGTTTTGCAGTGGATGTATCCTTGTGAATCCTGCAAGCACTTAGTAAAGCTCGCCACATCACTGGTTCGTGCTCGAAACCTAAGTCCAAAATTAAACTCTCTGCATCGACCAACCTTCCAGCTCGACCAAGAAGGTCAACAACACAGGCACAATGCTTGACATGACTCGTCATAATGTGATCTTTCTTCATAGTATCAAAGTACCTGTCGCCAGCAAAACCAAACGGATGGATTATATAGAAACATATCCAGGCATAAGACTGAGACAGACCGTCTAAAACAGTAGACGGCTAAAGAAATCTTCACATTTTTTAATCGAAAAGTAACCATATAACATAGCATTTAGGATTGAATTTAAGGGAAAATAGCCAAAAGAAGACCGCAAAAAAAAGTTGCTTGGGAAGTCGAACATCGAAACTAAAAAATGAAAGGTACGAGGCAGAAGTATACACCTCCAAATCCTGTTTAAGCCTTGAGGGAGCAGAGACGGAAAAATAAATAAATAAAAAACAGCCCAAATAGCAAATCCTGAAATAAAATTATTATAGGGTCAAGTGATTTTGGATTAGGCTAATGCCTTCACAACACCTGTCATAACCTTATATCACCAAGCCTTTCAACATGTAAAAAATTGGTATTGAATGACAAGAAAGTATAGATTCATGACTCACCTTATTCCTTCTTCAACAAGCCCTCTGTGACTACATGCGATTAGAACTCCAAGGAAGGCAAAGTGATTAGGTTCAATTCCACAACTCTTCATCAGGTCAAAGAATCTCAAAGCCTCGATTGCATGCCCATGCTGTGCATTGCTGCAAATTATTGTTGACCAAGACACAACATCAGGATTTTCCATTTGTTGAAAGGTTAGATTGGCTGAATATAGATCTCCAGACTTAGCATACATCCAAATCTGTGAATTCTGAAAGATGGTGTATCTCGAGATGCCAATTTTATTTGCATAACCCTGGATTTGTTCTCCAGATCTTAACATGCCCATATTTGCACAAGCACTCAAGATCGTGGACAAAATGAACTCATCAGGTTTCTCTTTGGATGACAAAAGTTCATAGAACAAAGCCAATGCACGTTCAAATTCTCCCTTTTGAAGGTAACCAACAATCATGGCAGTAATCGGGACTATAGTCAAATTATGAATAGAATTAAAACATGAAAAAGCATCCTTTATTGAGCCTAACAAAAAATACAAATCAATAAGAACACTTCCAATGTACTCATCCGACTGAAGGCCATTCTTGCATATTAAAGCATGAGTTTGCTTTGCAAATTCAAAATCCTCAACAGCAATACAAGCTTTAAGTAAGCTTGAGTATGTAAACATGGACGGTTTTATTCCACAGCTTTTCATCTCAAAGAAAAGATTGAGGGCTTTGTACGCACATTTATCTTCAATTTTCTCTTGTTGGAGCAAACCAGCCATCATTGCATTATACATCACAACATTTTTGTCCACCATTTGGTCAAAGATTTGAATAGCATCATCCAAACTTCCAGTTTTTGCATACATATCAAGCAATGCAGTCCCAACAACAACGTCCAGATGTAGGCCAAGTTTGATTGTGAGGCCATGAAGCATTGTCCCAAATATTTTTGAACCATTGAAGTTTGAGCTACAAGCCTTCAGGGCACTTCCTAGAGTATAAGTATTCAAAGTCAATCCAGACTGATGCATTTTCATCAGAATTGTCAATAGCTCTTCATATTTTCCATTTTGTGCATAACCAGCAATCAACGAATTCCAAGAAACACCATCTAAATTATTAGCATGGTCAAACAACATCCTTGCATGATCAACCTGGTTGCATTTTGAATACATGTCAATAAGGGAATTGGTCAGAACAACTTGGGAGCCTAACCCACTAACTAAAATTAACCCATGAACCATCTTACCCGCATAAAGATCCCCACTTTGACTACATGCTGTAAGAGGGCCTGCACAAGTGTACTTATCAAGTTTCAAACCAAGTCTTCTTGCTTTATTAAACAAAAGCATGGCCTTGTCAAGGGTTCCTATCTGGATATATCCAGAAATCAAAGAGTTGAAAGTTATGATGTTTGGTTTTGGCATTTTATTAAACAATTTGTCAGCAGAATGTATATCCCCACATTTGCAATACATGTTAAGAAGATTGTTCTGCAAAAATAGGCAAGGCTTGAAAAAAGTTTTGATCATGTGGGCATGAACAAGCTTGCCATGGTTCAAGTTCCCAGTTTTAGTAGCTGATTGAACCAGCTTAACATAGTCTGCAGATTCTAAAAGGAAAGTCAAAGAATATGGTGGACAAACTTGTGATGGGCCCAATGAGTTCAACTCCGAAGTGGCAAAAGACTCTATCCGTTGTCTACTGAAAACAGGAAGCATGGGGAACATAGAGGTACAGGAAAGAAAACTGAATCTCCAAACAAATGGTTTCTGAGGCAACATTGTTTCATATTGCTAAATAACTAAACCTGTACAGAGTTTCAAGTGAGATTTAAAAGAGGGATGATCTATTGTGAATGAACTGAATAGAACAGCTAACTCTACCAAAAAGTCTTCCACGACCCTGCATGTTAACCAATTGAGTAGTCAACAAATGAGGAAATACTATTAGAACTAATGATTAGCTAGCACAACACAATGCATAATAATTGAAAATAAAAATAGATCATATCAACTAATTAGAATCAGGAGTTTGATACCTAAGCAGCAAAACAAAAATTAATCAACTTTAGAAAAGAAAAAAAAAATTCCCTTCTTCAGCTAGGTAGGCTATGTAGATGGCGATAGATCCCAAACTACAAAAATTTATGCACGTAAAAAAGGAAAGACAGAGAGACCAAGTGATGCAATTAATTGAGAGTGAGATGAGGATGCCCTTCGAGAGAAGGGTGTTGTATTGTTGTGGGGCCACTTCATACAGTTAGTTATATTTGTGTCAGTTAGTCAGAGGAGTACTTAAAGGCTGTCTACGTAGGGAGAAGGCATCTTTTTGGCATTTGGCTTAATTGTATCTTTTGTTGGGCATTTTGGAGAGGGAGGAGTTCTCAAAATTCCCTTGACGATTGCCAAAAAAAGTGAATATGTATTTGAGGTTTATCACTTTGGTATCACAACCCCTTTCCTACAAAGTGGCAGCCTTGGAAGAAAGGATTTCAACAATGCAGATTGGAATGGAAGAGCGTCTTGATCAGTGATTTGACGTGATTCGGTGATTTTTTTAGAACCAATTGAGCGAAGAGGATAAGATCACTAGAGAATTTGCACAAATTAATGAAGGACTTGGTCAGACAATGGAGCAAAAGTTAGTGCAAGCACATGAGATTTGGTCAAGAAGACAAGAAACTATTCTCCTAAGAACTCCTGCGTGGTCATGCAAAGTCCCTCTGTTTGATATGCGTACGAGGAAGTTGGAGATTCCGATCTTTAAAGGAGAAGATGAAGAAGACCCCTAGAGTTGGCTACATTGAGTAGAGAGATACTTTGTTGTAAATCAATTAAGAGAGAAGGATAAACTGGATGCAGTGGTTTTGTGCTTAGAGGGAGAAACTCTCGATTGGAACCAATGGGAAGATGCAAGAATGCAGGTTGGAAATGAGTCCTAATCCAAGCCCTAAATCCAAATCTGCTACAGGGAACTTGGGTCAAGCAGCTTGAACCATATTGTGAAGTCCAACCCAAAATTTAAATGCGAGCACTTCAGCGAATTCAAACATATCTTCAATCCCCATGAATGAATTGTACGGCCCTACAATATTTTCAAAAATAGATCCGAAGTTGGATTATCATCCGATTCGGGTTCTTCAAAGGACATTCCAAAAACAGCTTTTCGTACTTATGAGGATCACTACAGTTTTTGGTGAAGTCATTTGGTCACTGGAACGCAATCTGTCAACATTCCAATCAACTATGAATAATTTGTTTCTGCCATATTTGAGGAAATCTGTGATAGTCCTCTGTGATGATATCCTCATCTATAGCCCAATAGTGAGTTCACACAACTTTCACCTTGCTACTGTGTTTGAGAGAATAACGAATCAGATGGTGGCTAATGTTACGGAAGTTCGAATAGAGTACTTGGGTCACTTAGTGTCGTCAAAGAGAGTAGCAGTCGATTCGTTCAAATTAGAGGCCATGAAGAAATGGAAAACGCCCATAAACATAATATACTCACAGGGATTCCTTGGTTTAACAGGGTATTATCAAAAAATCTGTGACCAATTATGGAACTCTAACCTTTCGTTTGATACAGTAGTCGAAGAAGGATAATTTTAGTAGAAATGCAGCCGCCCAGCAGGCATATGATGCAGCAGTGGGAATCCATTTTTAGAATATAGGTCACTTTAACAATATGCTCTGTTGTACATAAAGCTCAAAGAGGCAATGTTGTCCTACTTGGAATCAATGATGAAAAACCTCTCTACAATTCTCTGTTTCTCGGGACAAGGTACATCAGTGGCATAAAAGTGAGTTTGTACAAAGACTTTCAACATTGGCACATTCTAAAAAATCCCAATTCATCTTCAACAACACACCCTTCCCTTAGAAGAGCTGTAAGTTGGATGATGTCCATCAAAGTCCTTGAATTTCCCAGATAATAGATTGCTAAAATGTTTCATATGGAAAGATTCCTAGAAGCTCGAAACGAAACCAAACGCTATATCCCATCTCCTAGAGCTATTTATTGGTTAATCTGAGGGAGAGAATTTCAATTGTGAAAAAAGACTCAAGGACTCCTTCCCAACTAACATACATTGAAGAGAGAGGCTTGAATACTCATGGTCGAAGAATCAAGGCCATTTTCAGCAGATGCCATAAAGATATACAAACGATCAAGGCCTCAATTGAAAGCAACTGTTCTTTTTTATGATTATTATTATGCAATTCGGCTGTTGTTATTTATATAAATAGATCAAAATAACTCCTCCATTCATTCATAAGATAAATCCTAATTTATGACTTCCAAGTGAGAAAAGACGGAGATGGAGATGGGGAGAATACCAGTTACAACAACAGAGTAGAAAATCAGAGCAAAGCCGCAAGGAGGGAGGCTGCGGCTGCACGAGCGGAAGAAAGACGGCGGCGGCGACACTGAGGTGCTGAAAGGGAGAGGAGACGCCGTGAAGAAGAGAAGGTGGAGCATGTGGAGGCAGAGGAATTTGAACCCATGTTTCTCATCAATTGTAGTTTGGGACTTATTTTCATATACCCTAAATTCTTTTTTTCGAGTTAAATTACAATTTCTTTTTATCCTATTTGATTATTATTTGTTTTTATAAATATTTAATACATATCTATTTATATAATAAATTTTGTAATTTTTAAATTTAAATAATCGAATAAATATAAATCTAATGGTCCAGAAATTAATTTTTTAATTTTTAGATAAAATAAAGTCCTTATAATTAATTTGAAGTTTTTTTTTTTTTTTTTTTTTTGTCGCATTGTTAGATGTAAATTTGTATAATCAGCTTGCCCCGAACCTGCCTCCCTCCGGATCGATACAAAGTATATCTCCGTTTGATTCCTTTATGAGAGTTATAGATGGTGAATCGATGAAGCCCCAAAATTTTCCGCTTTCGTTTAATCCTAAAGAGTTAAAGACGGAAGTTATCAATGAAGCCCCATATTCCAAAGTGTATCTCCGTTTAATCCTCAAGTTTTCCGTTTCAGTGGTTATCATGAAACTTTATTCTTGGTGTCTCAGGAAACAAACGAATGGGACTAATTTGTAGGCTCGGATTGGATTTTAAAAATTTCTTCTCTCCATTGGTTATGAAAACTCGAATTGGGCAAACATGTTCGGGACACTTTCAACTCTCAAATCGTTCATAAAACTTGTTGAGGAGCTCATTTAGAACGTGTAGGAATTAATCTAAACAAAAATGGTTAACTATAGCCCTCAAATTTAGAAGAAAATTTGACGTAGGAATACTTCTCAAATTAATTTCTTATTTATAACCCAAACTTAGCCGTAAAATATATTCGCGATGAGCACGATATCAATCTTAGTTTTGATTCAAGAAGTATTCCCAACATCGTATCATTCCATTTGAAATGTCGGGTTGAATTAATCGGTTACGAGCGAATTAATTAACTAAGCTTGAGTTCCACACCATCAAAAAGGGCAAAACGAAGCAAATGATTGATGCGGCAAATTCAATCAAATAAAAAAGCTTTGACACTGATTGCAAATGCGTTTGGTCTTCATGCACCCAATGCCTTTACCCACAATCAAATTATTTTCAATTTTTTTTTATAATATCTTTTGCTCTCATCTCGATCTCGACCTCGACCTCTCGACCTCTCGACCTCTCGACCTCGACCCAGTTAGAGTCCCCCACAATATATAATACAATTTTCAGTAAAAAAAAATTCCTATTTCTTTTCGAGAAATAACTTCAGTGTATTTGGTATCAAAACACGTTAAGAAAGAGAATCAATTTTCTTTTAAAAAAAATGATCTTGGACATTGTGTAATATTCACAAATCTCGTGCGGGGTTAATAGTTTGAATTTCCCATCTTAAAGAAAACCATTTCCGCTCCGCTTAGCCCTATCCCTCCGTAAGGGTGTTTTAGTGATAAGTTGTAGATAACAACCCTAAGGATTTTCTCATTGATGAAAATAACGATATTTATGATAGTGGCGATATCGATATCGACCATGACGTTGATATTAAGTATGGATATGACGCTAGAAATAGACTGAGAACGGTAGTAAAAAATATGAGGGGCAAATTTGGAATATGGAAAAAGCCCGAAAATTTGGAAGATTTGTAGTGAATTACTTAGACAAATCCACACTTTTGGCTGATTATCACTTCATTCCAATCCTTTTCTCTAAGATTGTGAATGCTCAATTTGTCTCTCTCGCATGCCCTAACCCCAATTATTTCTAATTTTATTTTTTAAATCAAACTCGTAAATTAATTTATTTTATTATCAGACATTTTAAATTAAATTAACTAATATGAAATTCTAATATTAAAAAAAAAATCAAATTCTTTGCTGGGAAGGAATAAAATAAAATAAAATAAAATAAAATAAAATAAAATAAAATAAAGATTCTTTTAAATATTATGCATCCCCCACACCCCAACTTTCTTATAATTTGCATTTTGGCCCCAATTTTGATTACTTCAACGCTTTGGGCGCCGATTTCTTACCGTAATCCAAGGCCCTCCATTTTATTCAAATTATTTTTTGCGCCATTTGCGCCCTTTCCCTTTCCACTTTTCTAATTATACTTTGACCTCTTTTTTCTTTAAAATTAAAATTATAATTATACCTTATTTTTTTACTCAATATCCCCTTTGGATAATTTATTTGTTTAAATTTATTTTTTAATTTTGCGTTTAAATTTCAAATCAAATATTATCTCGGGTTGATAATGTATCAAATGCGAATGATTTTGTAAATCTCATATGGTATAGTAATGGCGTTATTTAGGGAGTAAATTTTTAGGGCATAAATGTGAGTTCAATGATAAAAACATAATAAACACACAATATCAGGTTAAGAATGAGAAACATAAGTGACTGGATGATATATCTTGTGGAAGGTGATCTTAATTCATATGTCGTTGTTCTTGGACTTGAAAGGTACTATGTTAAAGAATGAGTCCCACTTATGTTTTTTGGACTTTTGATTCTACCTATGTTTCTCATTCTTAACCGACCATTTGATATTTATATCTTTTAGTTAAAAAGGGATTATATGAATAAGCTGAGACTATATTTAAATGGGATCGATGTTAGGTGACTCCTCTGATTCATGTTCATCTCTTTTCAATAGCTCAATTATAAGAATTTCAAAATAATACGTGTTTTATTTTTAACAATTCGATATTGAGTGATCTTTTGATATACGTTACTCTTTTTTTTGTGACTCAATTCTATAAACTCCAAAATTAAGCATGATTTACTTTGAATAGACAATTCTATGTTAGGTGACCTTCTGTTGTGATGTGTGGAGATAGCTTTTATTCTCATAAGTAAAAAATAAGTAATGTGTCTAATTCTTGGATTTTGAATTTTGGGCATGAGACGTTAGTTTTCGAATTTCGAATCTTTCATAGCTATCTTCCCATTATTCTCTCTCACGGGAACATTCCAAAAACTAATAAACGAACAAAAATTTGGTGCATTATCCAGCTGCAAATAATGGAGGTATTATCGGGGCTAAATTTATAATATTTAGAAATTTTAGAAATAAATTATGGTTTATTGGTATGACCAATTATTCCAAGAAACTAGTATTAATCGTTTTTTTTATTTATTAAAATTAGATGAAAATTGACGTAGCATACAAGACATCATTTACATCATCATTCACATAAACTAATGCAAAAAAAATTCAATATTGCACATGACTTTGACGATATCTTTCGAGATTAAATAAATGGTAAAAACGATCTTAATCTTCTACATAGTTGTCAAGAATATTTAAAGATGTTCACGAGACAGGGCGGGGATGGAGAAGTCTTCCCCGACCCCATTTAGCAAATGGAGAATATAATTTTTATCCCGACCCGATTTTTTTCCTTTTGGGTTTATATTTGATTTATGGCTTCATATATTGAGAAAAAGGTAACAAAGCCTTGAATGGGTAGAAAATGGAAGTAATTGTTACCAAAACATACGTAATATAAAACATAAATAATGGAAATAAGATGCTCAAAAATGGAAAACCTTTGCTATAAAAGGGAGAGAAATTGAAGCCAATAAACATTATCATTTATTAACTTTATAACTTCATGAATAATAATAACAACAATTTTTTTGGGTTAGTTGAGTTGGTGACTCGAGTCATCCTAATAACATTCACAACCTAATCTAACCCAACTCTCTTTATTTCCAGTAGGGTTGGACTGTCGGTTTTTTTTCTTTTTTTTTACTTATCAAACATTCACAAGTCACAACACATTACTAACATTAGTTACAACCTCAAATCCTCTTAATTTTTCATAATAATCAAGTAGGGTTGGATTGTAACCATATTTTCAGGTTGGTCTAAACAAAAAAAAGTCAACCTGCAAACCGACTCAATTTTTTTCGATTTTTCAAAAATTCAACTCAACCCAAATCGAAAAAAATAAATTTAAACCCAACCCAACTCCAATTTTTATGGTTTGAGTTGGATACTCGTAATGGGTGAAGTAAATGGTAGGTTTTGAAGCATTATAAAGTGAGAGTTGAAGTTGGAGCATGATTTTAGGTAGAAGGCATAAAAAGGGGAAGCTTTAATTTAGAAAGAAGCATGCAAATTTGAAGTGTGAGTATTAAAAACCACATTTGTTATTGACTTCCAAAACAAAAGCCTCAAATTGCGCTACTCATAAACTATGCCACTCTTTATAAACCCATACTCCCTTTGCATCATTTTCAATCCAAACTCAAATATTAACCTCTCTTTTCATTACCCGCATCTCCTATGGCTACCACCACAAACGTTTCAACGTTCTTCTTCTTCCTCTTCCTCCTCTCGTCTTCCTTCTCATTCAATATCACTCGAGGCAACCCCAATTATCGAGACGCCTTGGCTAAGTCCTTATTGTTCTTCCAAGGACAACGCTCTGGTAGAATCCCAAATGGTCAGCAAATCGCTTGGAGGTCCAACTCTGGTCTCTATGACGGCGAACTCGCTCATGTATGTCTCAAAAGTTTTGACATGTTGTCAACCCAAAATTTTAAATTTTAAATTTTTTTAAATAACGTAACCCATGTTTTATTTTTTTACCATTTTTAAAATTTTTATTAATATATTTTAAAAGAAAAAAAGAAAAAATGGAATTAAATTAAATCATTACTGTTTTGTTTTTTTTCCCTAAAAAATTGGAACTTTACCAAAATCATCAAATCGTTGGGCAATTCTCAGGTGGATTTAACCGGCGGGTACTACGACGCCGGCGACAATGTCAAATTCAACTTACCGATGGCATTCACAACCACAATGCTTTCATGGGGAGCACTCGAGTACGGGGCGCGTATGGGCTCGGAGTTACCCAACACACGCGCCGCCATCCGTTGGGCCACGGACTACCTTCTCAAGTGCGCCACCGCCACACCGGGCAAACTCTACGTCGGCGTTGGCGACCCCAACGTCGACCACAAATGCTGGGAACGAC